CTGGGATGATGAAAATGGAGCCCCGAGACTCACTCTTTGGACCTCCAACTGCAGGGATCTAGAAAATATTGAATTTGGCGAGAGACAGTTGAAAAAATGAAATTAGAGAAGCAGCTTGCCAGGTCCTTGTGAGGAAGAACATTCTAGCAATCAGTACTATTTATCCAATGAACAAGCAGCCTTTCAAGGTGGTGAGCACCCATCAGTGAAAACATGGGAGCCTAGACCAGTGTTGAAGTAAATTTCCAAGCCCAAGATGGAGTTGCTTTTGCCCACAGTGCCACATTACCAAATTAAAACTTACATAAACTTCTTGGCACTAACAATCTCCTCCTGACCAGAAGTATTCAGTTAATCCCCAAATGCCAGGTCAACTCTGGGTCTTCTCACCCCAAACAAAGTTGACTGTGTCACCCCAGCCAACCAGATATTTTCTATTTTCTTCTCCTTGCTCTGTGTTCTATAAAAACTTCCTGCCTTCTGCCCCATTTTGCCATTCCCCACAAGGAGACTGCCTGCCCACTTCATGAAGTGCTAAAGTTAGTATCACCTAAATAGTCTTCTTTAACCATTTTTTTAACACCAAGTAGTCTGCTGACAGAATCTTGCAATAAATAAGAACTCGCATGCAATGAACACTTAGGTTCCTTGAAGATTTAAAATTCTGGGATTTACTGATGTTCACAACGAGGGCCTCAGAAACTACGAGACTGAGTCCTACTCAATCACAGAAAAGGATTCCACAGTCCTGTATCCTGATGGGGGTGGTGGTTCCACAAATCCATAGACATGAGACAAGGCAGAATTACACACACACACACACACACACACTCACACACACACACCCGCATACACACAAGAGTGCACATGAAAATTGGGGAATGTCCGGTGATGTTAGCGGTAAAGAACCCGCCTGTCAATGCAAGTTAGACGTAAGAGACACAGGTTCAATCCCTGGTTAGGAAAGGTCTCCTGGAGAAGGAAATGGCAACCCACTCCAGTACTCTTGCCTGGAGACCAAGGCATGGACTGAGGAACCTGGCAGGCTGCAGTCCTTAGGATCACACAGAGTTGGACACGACTGAAGCGACTTAGCACATCATCTGAAAGTTAAAAGTACTGTACCAATGTCATTTTTCTGTTTTGATACTGTGTACAGCGGTGATTCTGAGCCCACCGGTGACATGTGACAACGTCTAGGATATTTTTGCTTGTCACGACTCGGAGGAGGGTGCAATTAGCACCTTGTAGGTAAAGGCCAGGCATGTTGCTAAACATCCTCCCATGCACAAGACAGCCTTCCCCATGAATAAACACACACACACACACACACACACACACACACACACACATATGTCAGCCCCAAAATGGCAATACTCCCAAGGTAGAGAAATCTTGTACTGTAGTTATAAAAGATGCTATCACTGGGGGAAGTTGGGAGAAGGGTACACAGGACCTCGCTGCATTATTTTTACAATTTCCTGCCTGTCTATACTTATTTCCAAATAAAAACTTAAAAAAAAATTTAAGATTCCACTCTATTCGTTATATAAGGGCTCTACTCCAGAATCCATCAGCCACTCATGGAAAAATGCAATACTCTCAATTAACCAAAGGATTCGGCTATCCAAGCCACTTCCAGGAGAATGTCGGTCCGTGAAAGCCATTGCACATGGGTGGCATGAAAAAACAGCCAAGACTCAAAGCCAAACTCACATCAAGATCAAATCCCCAATGCCCTTGGCCCCTTAAGTAAACCTTCCTATGGGATTCAGACAAGACTCCCCCTAGACCCAGAGACACAGAGCATCTACCTCCCATCTTCTCTTGAGTCCAGCCTTTATGTAAGATACAAGCTATGTGGAAAATATTTTATCATCTGGGAAGACAAAGCACATGAGAGAATTCTCAGTGAGCAGTTATATACGCTCTTACATTCTTCTTCTCTAAATCTAACCCCTCACTCCCACCTCAGTGCCTAGACAGTGCACCACCCACCCAGTCCAAAAGCTCACAATAAACATTCCCACTGTGGCCCCTAAGATATTATAAATGCCGTCCTAAGATATTATTGCAATCTGCTTATGAAATGGTCCAACACAGAGATGAATGCTTCTATTACATCATGTTTGTTGTTGTTTAGTTGCTCAGTCGTGTCCAACTCTTTGTGACGCCATGGACTATAGCCCACCAGACTCCTCCGTCCATGCGATTTTCCAGGCAAGAATACTGGAGTGGGTTGCCACTTCCTTCTTCAGGGGATCTTTCCAGCACAGGGATCAGACCCACACCTCCCGCACTAGCAGGTGGATTTCCTACCACTGAGCCACCAGCAAAGGAGCAGTACCTATATCAAGCCACCCCTTAAGGGAGGCAAAATCATTTTCTCTTACTGTAATTTCATTGCACAAAACCATCACTAACTGCCCTAAGAAACGTTATTCTTAACCAAACTCTCTGACCTCTCTGACTTCAGGTTCAGGATAGAGGGTTCCACTGGTCAAGGGCCAAAAAGATGAGGATGGGGAGAATCAGAGCTAAAAGTATTGGATCAAGGTCACACTTTGCTTGTCAGAGTTGGGGGGAGGTGGTCTAAAAAGCCCCAAACTGTTTATCAGAAACACACCTTGAAATGGCAGCAGGCCTGGTGGTTGAGTCTCTGGAGCTTCCAGGGACCTGTGTTCAGCTTGGGGAATCAACGACACTACTCTCAACACCCCTGCAACTACCCTCCAAGCATCCGATTCCAGTGTGTTCCAGGAGGGTGGGGCCGGGCCTCTTTGCTCTCCCCTCCCCCAGGACCTCACCCAGCATCTGATGCTGAGCAGGCTCCCAGTAACGACCTGCAGAATAACGAACAGCTCAGAAGGGACTGGCACCACCACGAGCTGACACCTTACGAGCTTGTGTTGAAAAGCTCCTAGAACAAGTGAGAGAATAAAGCCAGGCAGCCTTCACGTGCGGATGAAGATGCTGGGGTCAAGAAGCTGAGTACTGAGCCCCAGAACTGCGATTCAGTGCAGTCCTCGGACTCCCAGTCAGGCCTGGGACTTCCCCACGTCCACCCGGCCAACCCCCAGTACATACCAGAACCTAACAGATGTGTCTCCCACCCACCTCGACCCACCATGCCCAGCGCCGCACTAACCATGTGGCAGATGCTAAAAAACAAAAACACGTGCCAGCTTGATTCACATGACCGAACAAAAAAGCCCTTGAGTTAAAAGCACAGGAGAAGGGCCTCCAAAGCTGCCACACCGCCAGCAAGTGACCCTGAGTAGACTGCTGACACAGTCAGAGCCTCAGTTTCCTCATCTGCAAGGTAACAAGAATATGCACCCCTCGGAGCCCATGGAAGAATTAAATGAGATGGTACAGAGTCACAGTCTACACAATATGACTCTACACAGACTCTACATAGAGTCTACAAATATGAGTGCCTTTTCCCACTTCCATTCCTATTATTAAGCCAGTGTGGTTTTTACAAATCTTAACAGTCATAATTCCCCAGAAAATATGGGGACTGCTGGCTCTGTGCAGGTCGACACAACTCACAGAAGGGCCCACAGGTTTACAATCACCCACAAACTCAAATCCCTGGAGAAGGAAATGGCATGCCACTCCAGGATTCTTGCCTGGAAAATCCCCTGGGCAGAGGAGCCGGGCAGGGTACAGTCCGTGGGGTCTCAAAGAGTCAGACACGGCCGAGTGATTGAGCACACAGCACACAAACTCAAACATGGCAGGACCCCTGCCGCTTCAGCTAAGTGCAAAGTTGCTGCTGCGATGGGCCCCCACGATTCAGGAGTTCTGGACCCCCATCTCTGCGCCTTCCCCATGGCCTCGCTGCTATCCTCGGTGAACAGTTTAACCAAACAAAGGTGATACCTTTCGTGCCAGGAGCTGTGTAACAGTGCCACCACCGGCACGAATCTCCTTTCAGGGAAGGCCGTTCCAAGGCCAGCTGGGGAACTTGGCCACAGTCCTGCTCTCACTCCTCAATCCTGAAATATTAGGACCGCAGCCCTTTGCTATTTGAGTCCAGAACATTTGTGACAATTAAAAGTCCTCTATTCACAAAGAGTGTAAGAAACTGAATGGAACCTATTTCCCCAATTGGCAGGCAGAACATGGGGATGCATTTGAGAAGGGTGGGAGGGGTGGGAGGGGTGAGAAGGGTGGGAGGGGTGGGAGGGGCGAGAAGGGTGGGAGGGGTGGGAGGGGTGAGAAGGGTGGGAGGGGTGAGAAGGGGTGGGAGGGGTGGGAGGGGTGGGAGGGGCGAGAAGGGTGGGAGGGGTGGGAGCGGTGAGAAGGGTGGGAGGGGTGGGAGGGGTGGGAGCGGCGAGAAGGGTGGGAGGGGTGGGAGGGGTGGGAGGGGTGAGAAGGGTGGGAGGGGTGGGAGGGGCGAGTGGGCCCGGGGAGTCCTCTGGGCTTCCCGAAGTCGAGCAGCTCTGGCCCCTCCTGGGGCTGCAGCCCAAGGCTCCCCAGACAGAAGCGCTACCATCCTAACCCCTTCCTGGGCAGAGGATCCAAGGGACCCACAGAAATCACGAAGTGGGGAGCTTGCAAGGGGACCCTTGCTGGGGAAGGGCCAGCCAGCTGAATTCTCCCGAGAAGGCCACTATGCCGAAACAGACCCCCACTAGTCCCATCACCAAATTGGAAACTCACTCTCAAGAAAACGCCCTGAGAGAAGACTGAAGTAGGCAGTAAGATCCTTTGCCCAGTAAATCTCAAACTTGGCGCTGAGGGACCGGCTCCCCAGGCAGCTGAGAAGGGGAGCTGGACAGGTTTAAGTTCTGGGGCTCCGGAAGGGACGGCGGGATGCGCGATCAGTGCCTAAGGAGGTGGGGGCCGCGATGGGGAGAGTTCGCGGGGCTCTCTGATCCCAGACACACGGAGGGAAACCAGCTGTCGCCCCGGACCGGCAGGCCATCGCTGGGACAGGCACACGGCCACGGGCGCCCCCTCGGGCCGCCCAGCGCCGCGAGTTAACTTACCTGACGGAGCCAACTTCTCCCTCTTGGGAGCTTTCTTGGGCTTAGTCGTCGCCTTCTTGGGCGGCCTGGGCTGGGGTGGGCGCGGCCCCCGCTCCCCCGCCCCGGGCCCCGCGGGCAGCGGCGGCGAGAAGGGCTCGGGCTCGGGCTTGGCCTCCGGGCGCGCGTAGGAAGGTTCCAGGCTCCAAGTCTCCTGCACGTCGTCGTCGGGGTCCTCGACGGCTGCGCCCTGGGCGCCGACCCCGGCCGGGGTCACCGCCAGGAGCGCGAGGGCCAGCGCCAGCGCGGCGGCCCCCCGGCGGGCCATGCCCGCTCCGCCCCGCGCCCCGGGCAGGGTCACGGGCGCCGGGAGCGCCGGGCGGGCGGCGGGCGCGGACGGCGGCGCGGGGCTGGGGCGCCGGGCTCTCAGCAGCACGGGATGCGGAGGCGGCAGGCCGGCGGCGCGTGTGACCCGCCCGCCGGGTTGGGCTGGGCTGGGCTGGGCTGGGCTGGGCTGGGCTGGGCCGGGCCGGGCCGGGCGGGCAGGGGCTCGCCGAGGCTCGGGGCGGGCGCAGGGGGGCCGGCCCCGCCCTTCCCTCCTCCCCGCCTTACCCGCGACCCTGCGGTGGCTGGCCCTGGGAACCATCCATCCCGTTAACTGTCTGCAAACCTCTCCCCTTCCCCTCACCTCCCTTCGAAGCCGGCCCGGTGCTGGGAGCCTGCTTCCCCAGAGACTCCAAGGAGTGTGTCCGTCTGGACGGGCACTCCAGCCGGCTTAGAGGTTGGGGAACCGTGACCCACGATGGGCCAAGGTCCTAAAGCAAACAAGCCCCGAGCCTAGCCTCCAGCTCTCCTGACCCCTGCCTCGCCCCTGGTTCCACACGAGACAGGGGTTCCCCACTGGCCAGACAAACCGTTCCCTCCACCTGACTGTGATCTTATTTCAGGTCACACCTGCGGACGGTCCCCAGGTCCCCAGGTTCCTTGGCGTCAAGTTCGTGAGGGCGGGGCCTAGCGTCCCTGGAAGTTCTCCTCTCGAAGTGTTAAGAGACTCAGTTGTATCAGACTCTTTGCTACCCCATAGACTGTACCCCGCCAGGCTCCTCTGTCCATGGGATTTCCCAGACAAGGATACTGGAGTGGGTAGCCATTCCCTTCTCCCCAGGATCTTCTCAATCCAGGGATCGAACCCGGGTCTCCTGCATTGCTGGCAGATTCTTTACCCTCTGAGCCACCAGGTGCCCTGATCTGTCTGAGAAGTGACTTTGCTAGGTGGGGAGAGAGCTGGAGCCCTCCTAGGACTGCTGTCCTGAGAGCCACAGGGCATATTTGGGTCATCGGGTGAGCAGATTCCTGCTCCAGGACCCACCAGGCTGGCAGGGAGCTCACTACCTTTTGAAAAAAGTACCATCCTGCCCCCAATAAAACTCTGTGTTCACCCTTCCGGCCAGGATGTTGGGGAAGTGTGGCCTGCCCTGGCTGCCTATTGCAGTTGTAACAAATTACTACAAGTTTAGTGGTTTAAAACAACACATACTTATTATGGGACAGGTCTGCAGGTTAGAATCTGAGTGGGCATCCCCAGGCTAAAATCCAGGCTTCAGTTAGCAAGCTGCATTCTCTAGTGGGGCCTCCAGGGAAGAATCTTGCAGGCTCACACAGGCGCTGGCTAAGGTCAGTTCCCGGAGGTGGTACCCCTGAGGTCCGGTTCACTGGCCGGTCTTCAGTCCGGGGAGCTGCCCGAGTCCCTCCTCTTGCTGTCCCCGAGGAGCTTCTGGTGGCCTCTCTCTGGTGCTTGCACGTGGGCCCTGCATCTCAGAGCCGGTGCTGGCATGCTGAGTCCCTCCAGTGGCCCCAGCTCTCTCCCATTCTGCCACATCTTCCCTCCTCCCAGCTGGGGAGCATTCCTACTTTAAGGGCTCCTGTGATCGGATGGGTCCACTCATAATCCAGAATAATTTCCCTCTGTTAAGGTGGTGACCTCATCCACATTTTGCCAGGTAACCTACTCGATTCACAGAGCCCCAGGATTAGGGTAGAAGTGTCTTTGGGGGCTTTTTTCTGCTGACCCCAGGGACAGCCTGACCCTCAACCCTTGGTTGGGCTATCACCTGCCAGTCCCTGGGACCCTACCATTCCAGGATGCCACTGAGCTGGGTCTGGGAACCCAGGCAAGTCCTCCTCTTTTCTTTGAAGCTACACTTTTGAGCTCACATGGTGGGCAGACTTGGGCTCTCCTCTGCCTCTGGCCTCCCTCATTTACCACCTTATTTTCTCTCCTTGTCCCCACGTAGACCAATAATTAGGCCATCCTTTTCGGCAGGTCTTCTGGGCTCCCAGGCCTAAGCCAAAGCAGAATGGCTGGGGGGTGGGAGGTGCAGCTGAAGTGGGCCCTGCCCTGTCTCTGAGGGCCAGGAGTCCCTGGACCTGGTTTTCGAACCTCTCAGAACATTCTGGAACCCAAAGCCAGCAGGGGTCTCCAGAGTGAAAGAGAAAGAAGGGCTCCTTCCCCCTCTCCACTCTCCAAACTGGCCTGGACCAAGCTGGTCCGTGACCCACTTCTGGATGCTTGCCCTCCCTCCTCTGGGATATATCTCCTGGGCTCACTCAAGGGGCTCTTTTATCTACAGCCAGGCACTTCAGGCAACAAATTAGTCCACACGGAGCTTCATTGGCAAAAAGTCAGCAAGTGATACACCAAGAAGTTCCAGCTGGCTGTGCAAAGCACAAGCAAGAGAATTGCCTGGACTCCTCCAGGCAAGGTTGCCCCCTGCACCACCTCCACCAGAGACCCCAGAACTGGCTAAACATGCAGACCCACAGGGTCTCCTGGGGGTGGGATTGGACACTGCCATGTGTAGAAGTTCCTCACATGATTCTGATATAGTTAAAGCTTGAGACTAACTTTCTCCCTCCCATTCTTCAGGGAAGGAAACTGAGGCCCAGAGTCACCCACAGATGCAAAGTAAACTACAGCCAGTCAGATTAAACCCTGCTTTCCTGCACTGATCCAATAGCTAATGTCAGGCGCTCTGCATCTTGATGGCCCCACACCCACAGGTTTTGAAAACGTGTTACTTTCCTGGCACCTCTTAGGTAACTAAAATAACATACACCTACTCTGTGGCATCTGGTAAACCATCAGAGTCCCACTCAAACGTGATTCTCAACACATCCCTCCATTCAGGAAATGAATCCCACTAAACGCTGCTCTCTGCGTTATTGCTTGCTTGTTTGTTTTCCATGGAGAGGCAGATAATTAAAGCAAGCAGAACAAATAGAACAAGAATTGGCACTGACGCCAATTCTCTCAACACGTAGCAGCCCGCTGTACGGTTCCTGGAACTGCCTTTGTCTTCCTCTGATTCTCCATCGCTAGGGCTGACTCGCCTGGAAATGTGCAGGGCACAGCCAGAGTTCGTCAAGTTTAGGAAGAGGGGTGGCCAAGATGACCTCATTCTCCGGTTCACCAAGTCTCGTCCTGCTTCTCAACCCCAGCCTGTCTGCCAAGGAGGAGTCCTCATGCTTCAGCTTCCCAGATGAAGACTTTGCCCCATTCATGCTCTACCTGCTAAGAGCCGACATGCCCCTAGTCCTGTTGCTTCTTCTGGCACATTAATCATCTCCTCCTCTGTTCCCACTGGCAGTAGCTGGTCCATTGTTCAGCACCCCATCCCAGATTACCAGAGCACTTGCTTAGCAGGTCCCCCTGCTTCTGGTCTTTGTTACTTGTGGTTCACCCCACATGGGAAGCTACCAACTTTCTCCCTGAAACATCCATTTATAATGTTGCTCTCCTGTTGAGGAACCCCAAGTGCTTACCCAGCCCGTGGAAACCCAGCCCCTCTGCATACGACTCACATACTCATCTGAACTCAGTTCTCCCAGCACGCCAGCCAGCAGCAATGATAGGAGCCCTCTTAATTGTCCCTTGTACAGCGTCTTTAAGCTCTTTATAAACTGGTAATTGTTGAAATCTGCTTATTTTGCATCCTCCACAGACACAATAAGAGCACAAGAAAGACAGAAAATACTCAGTAAGTCTTTGCTGCATGATTTATCTTGGCTGAGGGCCTTCCATGGCATTGGGAAAGAGTGCTTCTTTCTGAGACCTTTCTGTTCTCAACCTAATAAAGTATTTATTTAACTTAAGTCTAAGACCCTAACAAAGGGCTATTATCATCTCCCAGTAGCGTAAGCAGAGCTCAGTAAAGTGCTAACTTATCTTGGATATTTGCCAAGCTGTAAGAACAACCCTTCCAGCTGGGTGTAATAGCTGGAGCAGATTTGGAAACCAAAATGGTAGCTCAGGACTCCTTCTGTTCTCTGAATTCTTCAAATGGTATTTTGTTTGATTTTTTCATTGCTTGCTTCAGCTGGGAATCTGTTATGTGTATTTCTGTTAAGCAAGGTAAGCCGATGTTTATTCATTCATTCATTCATTCATTCATTCCTGAGACTCAGGATTCTGCTAAGCCAATTTCTGTCCCACAACATAAATCCGTACTTGTCAAATAATCCTCAAACACCTTACAGAGCTAATCATTTTTCAAATATTTATGAACCCCACAGAGAAGATTTATATGTTAAGCTGCTTGACAAGGAACAATAAGAGTGTACAGGTCCAGAGAATATTCTGTTGAAGCAAATGTTGTCAAGACATCAATACTTTTATAGCATTTTCATAACGAACTTTCACACCTGCTCATTTCCCTAATTATCCCCGAGACGTTTACACTCAGAACGAAAATGAAATTGTTTTGTTTTTAAGATCAGTAATTTGAAAAATTATCTGCTATATAAAGAAAAATACACGTTCAGGCACAGTCATTGCTAAAAATATAGTCTCAAGATAGCTGCTCACAAAGAGAGATACTAAGTTGTTATGGCAACGATGATTATAATTACAAAGCTGCAGGGTTTTTCCTGTTCATTACTCTGTTGAGATGTGGTGGTTTAAATGGCAGTGTCCTTTGTAATATCCTCAGTCTCATTACTGCATAATTACCCATTTCATATTTAATTTTCAGCATGTTTGTTCTCACTCTTAGACGCTATAGATTTGGCATCTTTTGATAAGCCTTATTCTTAGTTCATGGTTCCTCCTCCCCTTGCTGCTCCGTTTCTCTCTTCAGTACTGCCTCTGCTTTGCGATTTCATTTTTAGTTTGACCTGGGGAAACTTGCCTTGGCTTGACATATTCCACTTATAACCACTAAGATGCTGCTGTCAAAACTGTTAAGAAATCATACCAACAGACACCTGGGGAGACGTTGAACTCAGATTAGTCAGAGGCTGCTTAGCATCTCTGGAAATTCAGCATTTCTT